GAAACGTGCTCTAGGACAATGAAGTAATGGTTGTTTGATTGAAGAACATCCTTCAGCTTGACAATGTTCCGGTGTCTCATGTTTCGCATAATGGCAACCTCACGAAGCATTTGATCCTCCATGTTCTCCATTTTTAAGCGAGATTTGTTGATAATTTTTATAGCCCACAAACGACCCTGACTATCTGTTGCCTTTCGCACTTTCGAAAAATTTCCGCTTCCCAACAAACTACCAATCTTGTATTCACCCACATAAACATCCTCCATTTTACCCACTAACTAATATGTTGGGATCTATCTATTCTTTATGTAATAATGTTTTAAAAAAGTCTGGGAAAAAAAAAGTGATTTGTAAATTATTCAATAGCACAGCCATGACTTCTTGAAAAGTAAAACTCTTCTAAAATTAAAATATATACACTATACAGTGAATTTGCCTACAAAAAAATATATTAAAAAACAATGTTTTACATACTTTTTTAGAATTATAATGTATGTGTATATTGATATTCGATTTTACTGTGGAAAAAAATTCATTGGAATTTGGACTGCCTCCATTAAAATCTTAAATTTTATCAGTGCAATATAGCCAAGTAAAAATACAAAACTATGAAAAACAAAGTCAAATTAACAATATAAAGTTAGGTGTAGATTTCAAAACCCATTGGTGTTTCATTTTTAGGTATTAATGGATTCAGATTAATCCTAAATCAATAACGCAGTTGAATTTTAGTAACTATATGAGCACTGTTGTAATTAACCACACAGGAACGAAGTATCAGATCCTTTGTACCCACCTTACCATGAATAGTTTCGAAACGGCACCCCTCCAATTCAGCTGTAAATGTAAATGTGGTCTTGTGTTCATCTTGAAAATATCACCTTCAGCCCAGAATTGCATGTGTAATGTCACCGCAACTCCGAGCATCGGCTGCAAACCCATCGGAACCAACACTACTTCCCCTCTCAGAACTTTGGGTGTCATATGGTATGTAATATTACTGACACGTTTAAGTAGCAAAAAAGTTCTTGCTGGTTACCTAGACAAAATAAGCAATCGTTAAGAGTAAGCCGTTTGAAATAGCGCCGCGCAGCCTTTCCATTAGGTTATTGGGCAGCTAACGTTTCATTCAAAAAAAGAACTCTTCTTCCACCCTTCCCACCCACTCTTCAAGAAAAATCTATAAAGAATAGAATAATGACTCTTGGATTTCAATACTTCGTTCATTAGTACTATATTACAAATTAGCTTTTTCTGTAGCGCTACCTTCCCCTAATGATTAAATTTTCGATGTTGTCCCTATTGAGGTGCTTCTGGTTAATAATTTCCTTGCACTAAGCATAAACACATAAATCAATAAAGTTTCACACCTTTAAAAAAATTCCACTGATTAATTAGTCCCAATAGTGTACCCAAGAACAAGGGACGATTCCATAAAGTGCATATCGAAAAAGGGTAACGTTAAGAATAAAAACTAAACTAATAACAAATTGAGCAAAACTCACTAAAACATTGTTATCGAAAATTAAAAAAAGGCTAGAATGAAAATGCCTCTTAAAAATTTTTGATAGGTAAAAACAGGATAAAACGTAAAAGCAACTTTTACATGAAAAATCATTGGTTTGAATTTTCATAGAGAAAAATATAAATATTTACAAAACCTAAAATGGTGGATTAAATATATATATACAAGCATTGTTTTCCTTTCAAAGTTAAATAGTTAATGTCGGCAGTAATACTATAGAGAAATAAATTATATTATGTAAAAAAAAACTCGTTCAATTACATCATTTTTATATCCATGCCAATCTGAAACCAAGGGTGCTTAATAATTCCCTCCATCGAAATACGTTTTCGAGGGTCCACTACTAGTATTCTTCGGATTAAATCCATGGAGCTTTGCGATAAATTTCTTGGCATCAGGTACTCACCATGTTCAATCTTTGCCATTAGTATC